ACCCTCTCGTGTTCTGAGCAATCGGGAACGAGGGAGCTTCGTACCTTGGAGGAGGTGGCGAGTCAGCAGGAGGAGGAGCAGAAGGAAAACGAGGAGGATGAGGAAGGATAACGACGAGGACCAGCAGCAGCAGCAGGAGCTGGAGTCGCGAAGGAGCGGAGGGAACACGAGGACCAGGGAAAGGCGGAGGAGGGGAAAATGAGGGGGCGACAACGTTGAAAACTTCCTCCATCCTCCTCCTCCTCCTCCTCCTCCTCCTCCTCCTCCTCCTCCTCCTCCTCCTCCTCCTCCTCCTCCATTCTCCTCCTCATCCATCCTCCTGATCCAGCCTCCTCCTCCTCCTCCTCCTCCTCCTCCTCCTCCTCCTCCTCCTCCTCCTGGCTCGGAGCCAGAGAACCCTCGCGGGGGGGCGAGAGCGCCCAGGTCGGAGCGAGGGAGGCAGAGCGCCGACATCCGACAGCTACGGAGGCCCGCGCTGCAGCGCGAGCACCGTGTTTCGGGGAGACGTGAGACTCTCAAGGGTCCTCTGACCCGGGTCAATCCAGACCCGGGTCAGTCAGGCCTTGCAGAATCCTGCAAAATCCTGCAAGATCCTGCACCCAAACCCGGGTCAATGCGAAGGATCCTGCAAGATCCTGCAGGATCCTGCACCCAAACCCGGGTCAATGCGACCCTGGCCCTGCAGGATCCTGAGAGGTCGGGGCGCTCTGGCTGACCCCCGTCTGCACTGACCCCCGTCTCGAGGCTCCCGAGACTCGGGCGCGGGGGACGCCCCGGGAGCTGCCACGGTGGCCGCGAGAGGGGCTCCGAGCACGCACGGGCGCGTGCCGGCCAACCCGCGGGCAGCTGCGCGCTCCGAGCTCACCCAGGGCAGGGAGCACGAGAGGGAGGGGGAGCGGGGACGGAGGGGAGCAAAAACGAGGGCCATGCTCGGGGAGACGTAAGACCCGGGTACGGGGGACTCGGGTTAGCCTGAATGGGGGCCAGCACACATACGACGAGCCCCGATCTTCGCTGCCCCGATACGCAACACGCAACACGTAGCGTATGGATACGGAGCTCAACACGTAGACTGAAGACGTAGGTCTGACGCGATGTTCGCCAAAACGTGGGCCAATACAGTGAGCCAACGCGCAACGTATTGACACGGACGTTTTGCAGGATGGTACGTGTTGTGTATCAAAACGGGCGTATGGAGGCAACTCAGGACCCAATCTGAAATTTGACGCGGGCTCCCCCTGTAGACGTCCCACGGAAACGGGGCCGTGAAAGTCCAGGGCGCGCTCGTCAAAGAAAGTCGGTAAACCCGAGTTCTGGCGTACTCGAGTCTTACGTTTCCCCGAATGTCGAAGCACCGAAAACACTCGGGCTGTCAAAGCACACAAACAAACCAGCTCTGCTCGAGAGCCTCCGTGAGAGCACACGGCGCCCTCGGCCAGGGAGGGGGGGACCGGCACCGATCCAGGATATCCAGGATCCAGAAGAACAGAACATGAAACACGTCCATCCTGATTTCTGCATCGGGAGCGGCCAAGAGGGGGGTGTCCAAGAGGGGGGGGGGGGGGGGGGGGCAAATCATGAATGACCGGCGGCATGTGCGCGGCCCAGCGGGGGGGGGGACGTAATGAAATAAGAAGAGGCGCCATGACAATCTGCGGAGATATCATCATGGCCCGCGCCATGATATCCCCCCCCCCTTGTCATCACCCCCCTCTTTTCCGCCCCCGACTGCAGTGCGTTGCAATTCTGGGGTTGGAGGCGGCCGGGGAGCCTGAACTGGTTGGGACCCCCAGAAAAGCCGCCAGGGAGGGGAGAAGAAGCCAAATCCGTTCAAAATCGGTCCAGGACCCCTCCCGGGGTCCACCTGGTGTTGTTTTCACACCATATCAGCTCCTCGCAGTCCCGGGACCCGAAATGGCCCCCAGAGGAGACAGAAACAAAAAAGAAAGCACATCCCCGAACCCAGAACCTCGGACCTGCTGGTCGGAACCAGTGCTGGGCCACCTCAGACCCCCAGACGGCTCCTGTCTGGGGATGCCGCGGGAGGGATTGGCGGCGCGCAGAAGGGGGGGGTATAGGGGGAGAGGGGAAGGCTTCTTAGAAGGAGGCTGCCTCTTAGAAGGCGCCAGCCTTACATCTACAGGCAAGGCTCGCGCCTTCGAAGAAGCAGGGGTGCTTCTAAGAAGCCCTCCCCCCCCCGCCCCCCTCGGCGCGTGGCCGAAGGGCAGGAAAGCCCATACTCGAATCGACAAGTCGAATCCGCGATCGAAATGAATCGGATCGACGGAAATCGGCAGCCGAGTCGGGAAAAGTCGAATCGGCAGACATCGGCAGGCTAGTAGGCCTCCATGGAGAAATCGGATCCCCAATCGGAATGCGATGTCGAATCGAATCGAATCGGGATCGGACTTCATCGAAATCGAATCGAAGTCGAATCGGAGGAATCAAAATGAGCCCCGCCGAAAGGAGCCTTGAACTCGGCCTCGCCCAGCGCCCGCACCTGACTACCTGCCAAACCACCCCAACCCAAACCGAAGGCCCGAATCTCGCCCGAATTTCGGGTTGGGGGGAGTACGGGTTCCATGCGTTTTTTCAAAATGTTCCCCGACCCCCCCCACTGGCCCACTGGAATCGGCGGCGACGATATGGGCGAATAGCCCAGGGGCGGGCATTACACGCATTCGCCCGGGAGCCTTTTCGAAGACCTGGATCATCGGCGCACCTGAATACATGTATTGCTCCCCCCTGGGCTATTCGCCCCTGTCGCCGCCTCTGATGGAAAATGGAGGGCCAATCGAGGCCTTCGGGTTGGGTTGGGGTGGTTCGGTGGGTGGTGATCGGCTACACGCAAGAGTGACCCTGGGTAAGAGGGACCTTTGGTACGCGGCTTCTTGGGGGCCGCGAGGAGGCCAAACCTGGGCGCGCAGGCCGCTGCTACCGCTTCGTCTCCAGCCCTCTGAGGGCCCCTGTGTGCCCGCACCAAAGGTCACTCCGGGGTAACGCGGGTCCGGGGTAACTCGGGTAACTCGGGTCCGGGGTAACGCGGGTTTGGGTTCCCGAAAAACGAACCCGAGTTAGCCCTGACCCGAGTTACCCCTGATGATTCGGGGCTCTGGACGCCCGAATTATCCGTGGTAAGTCGGGTCTGGGGCAAGTCGGGTGTTCGGACTCCCGAACCAGGAACCCGAGTTAGCCCTGACCCGAGTTACCCCTGATGATTCGGGGCTCTGAGTGAGTGAGCGCCTGCCCCGCCACGTGCCCGGTGGCGCTGCGCACCACCTCGAGCCGCAGCGCGGGCTCGCCCGCGGCCGCGCCGCCGGCGCCCAGCGGGCCCGGCGCGGGGGGCGCCTCCGCGCCATCGGCGGCCTCTCGGGGAGGGGCGAGCTCTGCGGGCGGAGCGCACGGTCCCGACCCCCTCGCAGTGGGGGAGGGGGGCAGGCTTCCTCCTCCTCCTCCTCCTCCTCCTCCTCCTCCTCCTCCTCCTCCTCCTCCTCCTCCTCCTCCTCCTCCTCCTGATTAATTTAGCCGGCGCAGCGTTTCACCCATTGCTGTCTGTGATTTCTTGACCTTGTTTTCCTGCCCACGCGCTGGACGGCGTATGGCTTGTGAGTGAGTGAGTGAGTGAGGGCAGGCTTCTTTCGGGGGCGCGCAGGCACGGACGAGCGATCCATGGATTTGGCCCGCGGTCGCCAAGTCCATGGATCGGGGGAGGTGCCCAAAATGCAGCCAGTACCGCCTCTTTCGGCGACGGGAATCCGCGATGCACCATGGAAACGGGACCCGTCGCCAATCCACACCACCTTGATCCATGTTTGCGATCGCCTGATGTTGGCGGCGAGCAAAACCCAGACCACCTCGCATTGGTGGAGGGGGGAAGGCTTCGTAGAGGCTGCTTCTCAAAGGAGGCGGCCCGACATCTTCAGGGCAGGCCCGCGCCTACTAGAGTTGTGGATACCATGACAATGGGCACTCGAACACTCCCATCATATAATGTATGTGTAATACATGCTCTAAACATGTTTCGAATCTGTTTTTACATTTTTTAACATGTTTGAAACATGTTCTAGACATCTGGGTATTATTCGGGTTGACCCAAAAGGGGGTCCAGCGACAAGGGGGTGGTGCAATAGATTTGTTGGGTTGCGCTACATTTGGGGCGTGCAATACATTCCGGGGCGCAAATGTATTGCTGGATTTTCGCGTGTACATTAGTTGCAATACAATGAAATACAATTCTCCGGCGCAGTACATTTGCAACACAATTGCCCCAAATCTATTGCACCACCCCCTTGCAGCTGGACCCCCTTTTGGGTCGCCCAGAACTATTTGGCAGCATGCTTCCACTCCATTAATCGACTTCCACAGTACTAGAGGAGCGAAGGTGCTTCTAAGAAGCCTTCCCCCCCTCCCACCATACCCCCCTTTCGCGCGTGGCCGAATCCGGAGAATCGGCGGCGAGCACAAGGGGGAACTCCGAGGGAGAAGGCCCTCGCAGGAGGCGGCGGGGCTCCTCAGACGCCCTTGCGCCCTCAGAGGAGCCGCCTGTGCCTTCGGAGAAGTTGGAGGCCTAGAAATTGGCACCAACACCAACACCAACACAGGAAGTTGCCTCCACATGGGGGAGATGATCCTAGATTTCGGTGTTGGTGGCAATATTTCGGTCACCTTGGAAGCCAGAATATTACCACCATCACCGAGATCGGGATCCTCTTCCCTCGGTGGAGGCACACCGCCGATCTTGGTGTTGGTGTCAACCTCTAGGCCTGCAAAGAAGGCGTCGAAGACTTCTCGGGAGGCCCCAATGGCCCTCCGAACCTTCTGAGAAGGCCCGCCCCTGCCTCACTTCCCCCCCCCCGGGCTCGCCGCCGCCGATATGAGGCAGCGCGGCGCAACGCCCGATCGGCCCAGGGCCAGTCCTGATATACAGAACGCGGGGATACAGTCGGGGCGTTGACCTAAGGAACCCCAAATAAAGAACGAGGCCCCTATTTTCCATAAGTTGAACTTCGATTTCCTGTCGAAGACATAAGGAAAACCTGAGGCAAGCTGTGAAACACTTAAGGAACGCGGAGCCCCTCCCCAACGAAAAGGGTTCCTTCTTCAGGGCCCCGACTGTAAACATGCACGGCGACAATACCTTTGGAATGCCACTGGGGAAAAAAACGTCGGAAAGCATCACCACAACGGCATCTGTGGACCGCCATGGACCGAGCACGCCAGCGCAGCCACATCGGGAGGGGGAGGGAGGGAGGGAGGGGGGGAGGAGCCGAGGACAAAGAGGAGGGGAACGGGGCAGCAGGGGCCGCTCAGTCCGTCCATCTCTGGCTTCCGGTATCCCGGACATCCAAGGTATTGCAACACAAACAAATGTGGAGGATGTCTGCTGGGTTTTCGGCCTCGAGACGCCCTCGCCGGCCGGGACCGTGAAACAAACCTCAGGATGAAACGCCAGTCCCAGGGAGCAGGTCGACACTTCTTGGCGGCGCGCACAGGGGGGTGGGGGGTGGAAGGCTTCTTAGAAAGAGTCTGCTTCTGAGAAGGCGCGGGCCTTGCATCTACACACAAGGCCCGCCGCGTCTAAGAAGCAGCGGTACTTCTAAGAAGTCTTCCCCCCATCCCCTACCCCCCCTCTGCGCATGGCCGAACCTCAGGGGACCCCGCATTGAAAAAACAAGACGTCGGATCTCTATGGTTCAACATGTGGCCGGAGGGTGGGGGAGGGAGGGGTCTGGGCCTGGGTCAGTGCTTAGCCGATCTGCTTCTGCAGCCGCGCGGGGACACCAAGTGGGGGGGTGGTCCTGACCAATCGCCACAAGCAGCCGCCCAAAGCAGCCAAGAGGGCCCACGACGACGGGCGAAACACCGCATACAAACAGCTACGAGGTGTACGGCCGGGAACATTTGCTTTTCGTGTCGCGGCGGCGGCGCCCTTGGGAGCACACTATACCTTGCAACCTGAAAGCGTGTCGCTCCGCTTCGTGGAACGGGAACCTGGGAAGGCTCGGGGCACTGATGCTCGGGGACCAGGACGTGGTTCGAGTGTCGCGCCAAATCGTGGCGGGCCAGAACCACTGGCGCGACGCGCTAAGCAAACGTCCCTGACCGCATCAGGAGGGGTATCGAGAATCGAGGTTCCCAAACAACTGATGCTTCTAAAAAATCGGGGCGCCCGGTGTGTCGCAATTGGGCCACTAAAAAGCAGGCTTCGGGCCTCGCGACCGTCACAACAGCGCTGGATAAAACAAAACAAGGCTTGGGAATGGCTTGAGAGGTCTGGGGGCCCACGCGCAAACAATTCGAAGCGCTGGATGCATGGCTGGCAAGTGCTTGTACTCCAGATTTCGTAATAAAGGGAGGGGGGTCTCATTTCGGGGGGGGGTCTCTTCCAGGCTATCTTGGAGGGCCTGGGGGGGTCTGGGGACGATGTTTTGGAGGGTTCTCCCACGGGGGAGGTCTGAAATGGCTTGTCTCGGAGGGTCCAGGCCCCCTCCCTTTCATTACGAAATCTGGACTACGTTTCCGGGCCCTTCTCGTCGCCACGGCCGGGTCCGCCTCGAACTTCTCGTCGGAACGCCCGAGCTGAACAGGGGCAGGCGGTCGAAAGAGCCAGGACGCGGAACATCTCGGGCGGAGGTCGGCCTCCGTTGCCCGACCCCGGGGCCATCAACAAAAACGACTTTTAACTGCAGAGGAGCCACGCTGTGAACAAAAGAGGACGTCGGAGGTCTGGGGGGGGAGGGCAGGAGGGCAGGAAGGCTCGGGCGCAGGCGTTCGCAGGCGTCTCTGCACTCACTGGGCCCCTTAAAACGGGTATGAGATCCAGGGTCCAGGATTCGTACGTCCCCCGCCCAGACGGGATGGGTTTCGGGGTTTCTACATCCTCCCCAGATGGGTTCAAGTGTCGTCGTCGTCATCGTCGTCGTCGTCGTAGAGGCCATCATCGTGAAGAGCGAAGACGAAAACCAGGAGCGAATGAGGAACAGACGAAGATGAGGACGAATACGGCGATGACGGAAAGGTGAGGCAAGATGGGGACAAGGTGGCAAGGATGCACATCAAGGAGCTAATGAAGCTGAAAGGGAAAAGAAAAGAAACTGCAAGCGAAGATGATGATGACGATGGGGCCACTGAAACGTATGAGGGGGAGAACGAGAAGAAGATGGATGTGATGACGAATGTGCGGGTGATGATGATGCAGAAACGATACGTAGGAGGAGGAGGAGGGAGGAGGAGCGGCAGCAGCATGCGAGCACGAGGATAAGCGCCCTCCATGCCCACACACAGGCAGTTCTCTGGGCGGGGCCGCGCGCGGCGACGGGGCGGGGAAAGTCGACCGCAGGCAGCGAAGCGCGCGACGCACACCTTTCGCGTCGGCGGGTAGGCAGAGGGACTGCGCTGGCGAGTCAAGCAAAACGGGGTGCGGTAGGCGAACTCAGCCACCATGCAGAGGGAGGGAGAAGAACGACAAGGCGCGGGCCCAGGAGGGAGACGCGCGACATACACACAAACACACGCACACACACACACTCACTCACTCACTCACTCACTCACTCACTCACTCACTCACCCCCACACACACATTCACAGACGCACGCACACACACAAAGACACACACACAGACACACATGTTTGGCGTCGGCGGCTAGGCAGAGTGACTGCGCTGGCGGAAAGGGCGAATGTTGGACGAACAATTGCGAAGTAGGCCGCGATGCACGAGGGGAGGAGGGGAGGCGCCCGGCGACGGCGGGGAGGAGGAGGAAGCCAGGCCCGCTCGGAGCGGGGCCAGGCGGCGGCAGGGGGCGGCGCCGGGAGGGGGGTCCAGCGGCGGCGCGGCGGCAGCTGGGGGGGGGGAGGCCGGCCAGGCAACCGACGGAGGAAGGTGCCTGGGGGGGAGCAGCGCACAGCGTGGGCGGGTGTCGAAGTAGAAGTCGGGAACGCAAGCCGCGGGAGCCGAGGTCACAGCACAAAACACAAACACACACACACACTCCTACACACACACACACTCCTGCACACACACACACACACACACTCCCACACACACACACACACACACTCCTGCACACACACACACACACACACACACACACACACACACACACACACACACACACACACACACACACACACACACACACACACACACACACACAACAAGCGCCAAATCGAGCCATCGAACCCGCAACCCCACCGAGCCGAGCGCGGGGGAGGGGGCGGGGGGCGGGGGCGGCGCCAGATCGAGCCCCTAGCCGCCCTAACCAAGACCGAACCTCAACACCGGGCCCTCCCACCCTGCCCGCGAACCCGTCTTGTGGCCACGCGCGTGAATCCGCCGCCCCCCATGTCCGCGAGGCCAGCCTGGTGTCACGGAGCGCTCGCGCAAAGGATACCCTCGGAACTGCGGGAATTAGCTTGCACGCACGTCTTGCTCCCGACCCTCCGTTAGGGGGCCCTGCGCAGGCCCTGGATCATACATACAAAAATGATTGTATGTCTCATTTGTTTATAAAAAGCTGTCCATGTATAATCCAGGGCAGGCCCTGGCCCGTCACCAGAACAAGTCTGCCTGCAGGACGCTGCGGCCGTCGACTGGCGGCCGCACCGGGGCTGCGCAAGCAGGGGGGAGGGGGCTCCTCCTCCTCCTCCTCCTCCTCCTCCTCCTCCTCCTCCTCTTCAGGATAGGACAGCAGGAGGGGATGATTTCAGTTTCGGTGTCAGCTCAAACGCGGTGACCAAGAGCGGTCGGGGAAATACATTCTCGACTTGGGGGAGGGAAGACCCCTGGAAAGGCGAGACAGCACCTCTCGGTCCTTAGCATGGGGGGGGGAGGGCTCGACCCTAACTTAGCAGGAGGGGGCGAGTGCAGGAGGACAAGGGAGGGGGAGGAGGGGGAGGAGGGGGAGGACCAGCGCTTGACAAGGAAAGTGCACTCTCCCCTTCAGAGCAGTGAGACAGGGAGCAGGAGGAGGTACTTGCAAGGAAATGAAATCGAGGGAGGAAGAGGAGGAGGAGGCGGAGCAACTGAGGGGGAACAGAAGGGGAGGCGCAGCAAAAGAGCCTCTGCGCGAGCGGGCGTCTCGGGAACACCCATCGCGCGGCCGTCGGCCGTCGAGGGAGGCGCAGACCGACCGCCACAACCGGCCCCCCACAACCCAACGATAAAAGATGGGGGCTGTACTTGCGGCGTCTGATTTTGGTGCTGCTGTTCTTTCCCCACGTGCTATTCTTCATCCCTCCTCCTGCTCCTCTCCCCTCCTCCTCCCCCCCTCCTCATCCTGCTGCTCGTCCTCCTCCTCCTCCTCCTCCTCCTCCTCCTCCTCCTCCTCCTCCTCCTCCTCTTCCCCGCCCCATTCCTCCTCACCCTCTCGCTCCCCAGCAGCTCAACCTCCTCATCAGTTCCTGCTCCGTCTGCTTCTCCTGCACCCCCATCCTTCTCATTCCCGCCCCCTCCGCCTCCCTCAATCTCCCTTTCCCTCCTTCTCCTCCTCCTCCTCCTCCTCCTCCTCCTCTTCCTCCTCCTCCTCCTCCTCCTCCTCTTCCTCCTCCTCCTCCTCCTCCTCCTCCTCCTCCTCCCCACCCCTTTGCCTTGCACCACCGATCTCACCCCCAGCGTCCCAGATTCCTCGCTGCTTGTCTCAACCTCCCCTCTCCTCCCCCCTCCTCTTCTCCTCCCCACAGACCCCCCCCCGCCCCCTCCGCCTTTCGCCAACCCCACCCACGTCCCCCCCTCCAACCCCAGACCCCCGACGGCCCGATTTTTCAGAACGTCGACCCCCAGAGGTCTCGACTCATTCCCGAGGGCCAGCTTTCCATCCCGAGTCAGGTTGTTGACGGCCCCGAGGCCCGGTAAGGTCCCCCAGAGACCGAGAATGGTGAAACACCTCCCGTCACGATTCTTTTATGAGTCGAGGGGGTCTGGGACCGCCCCCTGCTCCGGCCGCCTGAGGCCCCGCCGTTCTGTGCCCTGTCTCCTTAATTGAAGCGGCGCGTAGCCCGCTTCGCTCTCGCCCCGCCGACCAACAAAAAAAATAAAAAAAGGGTGTCTGGGACCGCGTCTCTCCCCCCCCACCCCTCATGCCGCGCCTCTTCCTTCTCCCTTCCGCTGTGGCTCCCGGCTCCTGCCCCGGCTTCCCCATCCTTCGCCTCTCTCCTCCTTGCCCCTCCTCGTTCCCCCAGTGTCTGAAGGGGCCGCCCAGGGACACACACACACACACACACACTTGTTTTTTTTGATCTGCGGGGCGAGAGCGAACCTCTTCCGCTAAAAGCTAGGCGGGCTACGCACAGCTTTAATTAGGGAGACAGGGCACAGGAAGGCGGGGCCTCAGGCGGCCGGAGCGGGCGGGGCCCGGGGAACAGGCGGTGCCGAAGTGCAGACCACACACACAAATGAACTGATACAAATCCTGGCTTTCCCCGCATGGTATCTATTTTCTGGGTGTTCGTCTTCCCCCCCCACTGTCCACATTTGCCATCTCCTCCTGGGAATCAACGATGATGTTTGTCTGTGTCGACTTCCCCCCTGCTGACACACATGCGGCCCCGAGAGATGGGCCCCCCCGGTCGAATGGCCTCATTCGGCCAAGGCTCAGCCTGGGATCCCTTTTCCCGTGAGCACGTTCCCATCCCTCGGGGCCGCGTCTTCGAACCGCCGATCCCAGACCCCCGACGGCACGAGTTTCTCACAGCGTCAGAGGTCTCGACCCCTTCCCGGGGACCAGCTTCTTCTTCTTCTGAGAACTGTGCTTGACGGCCCCAAGGACCAAGAAGGTTAGTGTCGCGCAAAGGGGGGTCAGGGGGAGGGGGGAAGGCCTATAAGAAGCACCCCTGCTTCTTAGACGGTGCGGGCCTTCTCTGTAAGATGTAAAGCCAACGCACTCTAAGAAGCAGCCTCCGTCCAAGCAGCCTTTCCCCCTCCCCTGCCCCTTCTGCGCGCCGCCAAGAAAGGCCCCAGGGGCACCGAAAGTAGCCAATTGCCCTCCGCCGTGGTTGGCTCACGGCTCGAGGGGGTCTGGCACGGGCCCCCGACCTCTCGACCACTGCCCTGACCCCGCCACCTTGGCTCCTGACTCATCGCCAACTGCAAACTGAACTGGTCGAACCGAACCATTCGAACAACTGGAGCCGAATCGAATCTTAACCAGACCCGTAGTGGTAGTAATTATTGAAGTTGTGGTTGTAGTAGTGGTAGGAGTAGTAGTCGTAGTCGTAGTAGTAGTAGTAGTAGTAGTAGTAGTAGTAGTAGTAGTAGTAGTAGTAGTAGTAGTAGTAGTAGTAGTAGTAGTAGTAGTAGTAGTAGTTTAGTACTAGTAGTAGTAGTAGTAGTAGTAGTAGTAGTAGTAGTAGTAGTAGTAGTAGTAGTAGTAGTAGTAGTAG